CTCATATCCCTACTTGGCTAGCTATACTTGGAAAGATCATAAGACAGACCAAAGTATTTTTTAAGAAAGCAATCAATCATCATTAATTCACACTGTCCAAGAAAGATAATTTAAATGGATAGGACATTACTTCAGACATCCTCTAGACATGTATCTCACAAATCAATCCCTTTACCAAAAAGGTAAAGGGATTGATTGAGAAATCTTCCTCTTTCTATATCCAGTTGTTGGACCATACTTCAGACATCCTCTAGACATGTATCTCACAAATCAATCCCTTTACCTTTTTGGTAAAGGGATTGATTTGTGAGATACATGTCTAGAGGATGTCTGAAGTATGGTCCAACAACTGGATATAGAAAGAGGAAGATTTCTCACTCAATTCTGGCAGTATATCAACATTGTATTAACTGGAGATAAGAGACTAAAGCAACTGCAGATTATACAACTCTCCCATAACAGAGATATTGGGTTGTTCAGAAAGTAATTTCCTTTTTGTGTTTTTTTTTCATGGAAAAAACAATTTTCTTATAATATATAAATATTTTATCAAATTATATATTGACCATTTTGGTCCAATACCTTTTGCCATCTTTCTGGTAGTAACATGATTCCATGCTCATAAAAGTTCTGATCTTTGCTTACAAAATGATCCAAGTGATTTTTGACATCCTCATTTGAAGTAAATGTTTTACCGTTTAAAAAATTTTGTAAAGACTGGAACAAGTAATAATTTGAGGATGCCAGATCTGGCAAATATGGTAGGTGTGGTAGCACATCCCATCCAAGCTGTAACAGCTTCTAATGAGTTACCAAACTTGTGTGAGGTTTGGCATTATCATGGTGAAACACTACATCTTTTCTGTTGATCAATTCTGGCCTTTTCCATTTGATGGTATCACTCAATTTGTCCAGTTAACGTCAGTACACTTTCGAATCAATTGTGGAATTGTCTGGTAGGAACAAAAAAAAAAAAAAAAAACGAAAACAATTTCCTTAAAATCTCACCAAACAGAGAGCATCATTTTTTTAAAATGAATCTCAGCTTTTAAAGTGCTTTCAGCCAACTCCTCTCTTCTACTACATGATTGCTTGCATTCCACATTGTTAAAAACAATCCATTTTTTGTTGTCAGTTATGATTTTCTTCAAAATGAATCATCTTCTTGACATTTGAGAAGCAAGTCACAGATGTCAAAGCAACGGAGCAAATTTCTTTAAGAACATGTGGAATTCATGTATTGAGCTTTGTAACGAAACCAAGTCGTTTCAAGTGATCATAAATGGTTGAATTCGACAAATTTAATCTCAGTGATTTCTTGTTTTGTTGTTTGGCAGTTTGCTTCAATCAATACCTTTATTTTGTGTTCATCATCTTCAACTGGTCTTCCATAATGTGGTGCATCTTCAATATCGAAACTGCCGGAATGAAATTTTGTGAACTAGTTTTGGCACTGTCGTTCTGTCAACATATCTTTATACACGTCTCTCAATTTTTTTCTTGCTTGAACAGCATTCTTACCTTTTCGGTAATAAAAAAGCAAAATACAGTAAAACCTCGATTATCCGGACCTCTATTATCTGGATTTTCGACTATCCGGATTGTTCAAAATAAACAAAAATTTTATGAATTTGCTGATTTGTGCTTGGCGAATTACGATACTGTTTATGTACGTGATGGAATGCATAATTTTTTTTATTTCAACAACGTCTCACCTGGCACAGTGGCCGTAAACTCTTAAATATATTTTGCGTCGTAATAAAAATATAACTTGACATACGTATTTATAAATAATTTATATTCAAATTACATCATTTCTATGACCAAGGGCGGCGTAAGGCATGGACGACGTGGGCCACCGCCTATGCCTCGCGGTCCGAAGGGCCTCGCGCCTCGAAGGTTTATGCATTACTTAAAAGCCGCGAACGCGACGAAAAAATTTTACTCGTCATAAAACGATAAATAGTTTGTCAAATTTTTATTCATAAAAATGCAGTTTCAACTGCTTTTTATTTTATAAAATCCGTCTTCTTGCGCCACCAGAGGGCCTTTTAAACAATAGGTAGTCTGTTAGCGTTGGTCAGTAGTAGTCCAAATTCAATACGAACGTTTGTTTCTTGAAAATTTGATCACGATTTAAATACAGTATTTACTTTTAATATTACCGATATGTCATCGAAAAGAAAACGTGTTGTATTATCATTAAAAGACAAATTAAAGTATTTGTTTCGATTATCCGGATTTTTCCTTATCCGGACTACCTTCATCCCCAATTAGTCCGGATAATCGAGGTTCTACTGTGTGCCAAAAATGCTGCTTTCAATTTTTCATATTTGATGGGACACCAAAAATAATCAATTGCAAAGACTCAAACAAAATTTTTACAAATAAGCCTTGAAATGTCAGCTGTCAAAATATGTATCAATAATTACAATATGATTTAGAATGAAATGGGTGGGTAAAAATACAACTAATCCCTCTGGTGGTAAAAAAATGAAATTACTTTCTGAACAACCCAGCAGATAGAGGAGAGTCCAGAAAACCTTTCTTTCTGAATTGTAGACTACCTCTATGTATATAAATATTTATTTGTAATTTATTAAAAAAATATTTATTTGTAAATAACTTTGCTATTTTACATTGTATTTTGTATGTAAAATAAACCATGATAATGAATTAAATTAATTCTGGAATATGTATTATAAGGGCAATGTCAGATATCAAGCAAGCAATAATTTGTGAATGCAGCCTGGTATTGTGAACACAATATCAGGCTGCAATTTTTTAGATTTTGATCCAAAATACTGTTGATTTTAGTAGTGGGTGCCCCTATATATCATACTTTTCCTGATAACAAGAGTCTACGGTCATCTATCTAACTCTGTTTTGGAGAAAAAAAATTTAATTGAAATCATGCACCTTCTAGTTCAAACAGGAAGTTTATATATTTGCATTTTTCACTGGATGCTCACCTTCTGGTGTTTAAAAACAAAAGTATTTTATCTGGGTTGTTTTATTCATTCCTGTGTATTATCAGCAGTAAAAATGAAAAGTGATAGAAAAAGCAATGCTTACTGTTGGTTCCAAATTGCAATTTCAAAGCCTTACGAGAGCCTGATATAAGTTTTTGTCTATTCCCACAGGAAAAAAGATGATTATTCGGAAATTGATCGGTTATATTTATGAACCCTGAATTCTGAAAGAGTGGATTACATTGTTAAGAATTGGCAGTTTCCTGATTGTCCAGCTTTACACGAACAAGTTATGCTGTTAATTTTAAAACATTTTGTTAAAGTTTAAAATGCCAGTAATTTTGTGTAGGACACAAGGCCGGATTTAAGCATTTCAAAGCCCTAAGCTGAACTCTGTAAGGCCCCTTAACCAACCCTTCACAGTTTTAGAAGTTAATCATAAAAAGAAAAGAATTAAATCAGACTATGACTCTGATTTAATATAGATATTGGAATAAAAACACGTGAGGTTTCAGTAGTCTTCTGTTTTATAACTAAATTTAATTAAATTTTTATACCCATTCCATTAAAAAATCTTTTTTTTTAATTGGTTTTATCAATTTTTTTAAAAAGATCTTATGTTAATTCTTAGAAAAAAAATTAATGAAATACTACACAAAATAAACAGTAAAGTATATTTTGTTGGTTTGTAAAAAAATGTTTATTATAAAATCTGACTTCAATTTTCTTTTTTGTACAAATGTTTGAAGTCCCTTGAAAGTCGAGGCTTTTTTACTCATAAATCCGGCCTTGATGCAACAATGTCAAAGCTGATGTTTTTTAACACAAAGGGCACAAATATGTCTAGAACAGTGTTTCTCAAACTTTTTTGTCAGGTGGCACACTGAAATTATTAAACAAAATTCACGGCACCCCTATTATTATTATTTATTATTTTGCTTTTTACGGTTAGTAAAGATATGAAGGATGAGAAGACTTTGAAAAAAATAAAAGTTTTTTAAAGTAAGTAAGTTTATTTCCACAAAAACATTTAAAACAAAAGTTATTATTATAAAGGTATCTGGTGATAAAACGTGAATTTAATGTGAAGTATGCGCCTGATGGTGTTTGTATATTTCCTTGATATTAGGTCGTGTTTTTGAAAGACATACCCTCATCTCATTTTCAAGGGCCTTTAGTCCTTCTCTCTTCTTCGTTTTAATATTTACGAGTGTAGAGAATCCCACTTCACAGAGATACGATGTGGAAAATTGCTATTAAATATTAAGTGCTTTGAATCCTATATTGGGATATTCCTTCATAATTGTTATCCAAAATGAATTCAGACTCATTTCTGAATGTTTCAATCTTAACATATGATCATTATGTATATCAATTAATTCTTCGGCTTATGCAAGACTGAGCTTACTTATTTCTGATGTTGTCTCTACAAAAGGATTTAGAATCCAGTCGTACAAATCAACTGATATGTTAGGGAAATAATGGTTAATTTTTTCTTCTAACAACATTAAATGACTGTAAATAAGTTTTTGCAAATCTGTATTGTTATATTTTCCTTTGGCAACTTGAATAAACATTTTTACACTGTTTGCGTTTACTTTTATCTTCCACATTTTTAGTTTATCTTTAAAAGCTTTAATTTTATCTACAGATATTAAAATATTTTAATTTCTACCTTGCATGCTTGAGTTTAACTTGTTCAGGTGATTAAATATGTCTGTTAAATAAGCTAGTTTGGAACACCAAGAATCATTTTGTAATAATACACAAAATTCTGGTTTGTTTTCATGCCGAAAAAATATTAATATTTCTTTTAATCCATTTTAATGATTTCTTCTAACACTTTTTTGAGTTCAGGGCCTATTGTCTTTGCTACCAATGATTCATGATGAATGAAGCAGTGAGTTGTTACAATGTTTTTGTTTTCCTTTTTAGCGTATGAAACAAATCCTTTTATAGTTCCAACCATTGAAGGGGGTGCCATCTGTGCATACATCCATGTAAGATTTCCAAGATAGACCATTTGTATTAAAATGTGTTTATGATATCAAAAACATATTTTCCCGTCGTAGTTTTTTCGAATTCCTTGCAGCATAAAAATTCTTCTAAAATTTTATCATCTTTAATAAATCGAGTGAAGGCAAGTAATTGTGCTTTACCACCAATATCAGTTGACTCATCCAACTGCAAACTAAATAATTTCGATTTGATTATTTTATTTATAACTGATTTTTCAATATCAATTGATAGATTACTAATACGTCTACTCATAGTGTCATTTGACGAAGGAATCATTTTTATTTCTTCTTCTGCTTCAGCACCAAAAATTGTTCTCACAATTGCTGTATAGGCTGGGCGAATCAAAGTTTCACCAATAGTGTGAGGCTTCATTTCTCTCGCGATTATTTCTGTGACTAAATAACTGGCTTCTTGAACACGGTCAGCAATTGTATAATTTTTACAAAACTTTTACTTTGTTTTTCTTGTAATTTTATGAGATCTTTGAAATATTCAAGAGGTTTCTTAGACAAGTGATCATGTTTTGTGGAGAAGTGTCGCAATAGTTTACTGGGAACCATAGCTTCATTTGATAAAGCCAAACCACACACAATACATTTTGGTCTGGGAATTAATTTATCACCACACCAGGTAAATCTCATTTTTTAGGTAACTGTCTTGATATAAGCGAGTTTTTACATTATTTTTTAATGAAACATTTTTACAAGAACTTATTGTTTCTGTTTCTTTTGTTTCAATAGTGCTTGTTTGTTGCTCAACATTAAAAATAATCAAATCTTCACTAATAGAGCTCTCAATTTTTGATGATTTACTAGTGCTAATTGATTTCTTAGCTTTGCTACCAGTAATCACTTCCTGATCATTAGAATCTTCGTGCTTTTTTTTAATGAAAAAATTATTCGTGATATTGAACAGCATAATTAACTTCAATATTTTATTATAAAATTTAATTACAAGTTAATAATTTATTTTTTCTTGCTGTAAAGAAGAAAAATATTTGTATATGATGCTTTTTCGTTATTGTCTGAACATATAACAATAATAAAAACTACTACTTGCTGCATTCAATGCATTTATATTGCATTTCTACTCACTGCAGGAACAGAAGAACAGACAACTAGTAACTATGAATCTATTTATCGTAACTTGGCACCTACTGTAAACAAAGATTTTGTTGTATTAATCCGCTGGAGATTTTCATTGGTCAAATCACAATCGGAAGTGGCTAGACATGTGTTGACCAGTTAAGCCCTTTTCTCTGCACGTGTTAAAGTAGGTCAGAGTGGTCACAACAATTTAAAAATCACCGAGATAATACTTAGAAAAGTTATTATAGCCTACTTTAACATTTTTACATAGCTGTTTAAATTATTTCCATCGTTTAAATATAGTTTGTCAAAAATTATTATTAAATATATATTATTATTATAGTTCGTTTTGTTTCTAGTATTTACATGTCGCCAATTACCGAGTCACTGAGACAAGTGGCAACGTAACAAGATTAGTAGAAAAAACCAATATTCATTTTTTTTATAATTGTTTTAATTATTTATTTAATTTAATACTTTAATTCAATTAAGTAATTTTAATTTAATTATTTAAAAATTTCGCGGCACGCTTGTGGCGTTCTTGCGGCACCTGCTTTGAGAACCACTGGTATAGAACAATCTCACTCATTTGTTTCGATACCACATAATGACATGTCCCGCTAACAATAATTGTTCTCCTTCTGTAAAATTTCTCGATAAACAGCTACAGGCAGCATATATCATTCTATCGGACAGTAATATATGATTAATTTTACATTACTAGTTACAAGCGACCCAGATAAAGTAGCCATTTTGTAAAAATGCAGCGCCCTCTATATTTCATGAAAAATGCAAATAGTTAATTGAGGCCTCCAGATCCTAAGCTTACCCTTTCTGGTCTTGACTTTCATCTAACTCCATTCTTGAGATTAAAGAACGACAGACAGACAGACAAATGCCAGTGGGAATTTATAGATCTGCAATTTTAAAATTACAGCCCAATAAATTTATTTTAAACAATCATGTCTTTGTAGAAAAAAAAATTTGAGTGAAAGCATGTTAGTGAAAATGTATAACAAATTATTAGTTATCACACATCTCTCAATAATATAAGTTACAAGTTTTTTAAAATAAATTTGAATGTTTGAAATGTAGAATTTTATACAGCATTCATAATTTTATGCAAATCTTTGTAATTTAGTTTTAAAATATGCAAATGTTTGTTTTATTTATACAGTTATTTTTATTTCAGGTATTAACAAACAAATATAAACAGTTGTTTATCCAGTTTAAATTCTAAAAAAAAAGAAGATTAATGTCATTAGGGTGGCATTAGATTTCTAGCAATAATGACAGATTCTGAAGGTAAATGAATTTATTGTATATTTTCAATAAAAAATAAAATACTTTATACTGTTATTTCTTTTACAATAAGCAACATAATGATAGTATAGTTGTATTTTATGTTCAAGTTTTGCATTATTTATTACATTATTACGATTTAAAACTATATAAATATTTTAATATAATATAATAATATAATGAACATATTTTATTAAAAATTTCCAATTGACAATTTTTATTTTTGAAAGTGTTAACCGATTTAAATTATTATAATTTAAGACATAAATTTTGATTGATTTTTTTTCATTGTTCTTTAAAGTATTTTTATTTGATTTTATTACAAAATATTTTTTACTTTATTTGCTAAATAAAAGCTTACTATAAATAATAAAAAGTGGTTGCAAATGTAATGATTTAATGCATAATACTGTGTGTTAAAAAGCTTATTATATGATTCTAACATTAATGTATGAAATTAGTCATTTCAGTATGAGGAAAATGACTAAAATGCAGTAGTGCCAATTGTCCAAAAAATCTGTTAACTGAAATTGATTTTACAGCATACTAATTGAAATTACAAAATTTTGACTTAACAATTGTTGGTGATCTTCTGATCAACACTAGTGTTAGGTTTTATTTATTATAGTACAAACAGAAAAAACATGATTAATAACTCAGATTTCTAATGCATCGAATGCTTAACTGTGCCTAAGCACAATGGAGCATTTGATGCATTAGAAACAGTGTTGACATGGTTTGAAATATAACCTGATGCATTTTATCAATTCACGATGATCTTGCTTGATTGAATTAAGCCATGTATTTAGCAGTTAAATTGGATGCACACTGATGCAGCAAAAATACCTTTATACAAAATATTTTTGACTAAAAATGCTTAAAACTGTTTTTTTTTCAATGGTTTACCCAATATGCCACAATGCACATTAAATACTTTTCTATCTGCCAAAATGTTTTGTATAAAGACATTTTTATCTGAAGGAAACACTTCCTTGTCAGACATGATTATACAATTTAAGTATGCTTAAACCTGTCAAATGTTCAAACATGGATCCTCGCTCAAAGGACAAGTGTGCGCTCAAGTATTTGTATCTGACTAGATATTTTCCATGTATAGCTCACATTTGCATGTACAGGTATACCTTGACTTATGTCATTTCGAGTTATGTCGTTCCCGATTATACAATCGACCCCCCCATAGCACGGGTTCCTATAGTTTGGATTCCTATATCACAGCGAAAAAATTGCAACAGTATTCGTACAAACATGCTAAAAAAAAACTCATATAATTTGGTAAAACGTCATCACCGACTCTTGCTGTGACAGGATTGGTCGAATCTAGACCAATAGTGGATATTGCACAAACCGTTAAGTTTAAATGAGCAGCGGACCTACTAAAAACCATTTATTATTTAACATCCATAAAAATTATATTTACATTAATGATGTCTCCAAAGTTCAGCGAATTTTTCGCAAAAAAAAAAAAAAATAATAATTATCAGGAAACATGCGAGCGCCATTTGATGACAAGCCCCACAACGAAAACAAGCTTAAGCAGTGGCGTAGTCGAATGGTGCACGCTTGGTAAGTAATCCTACAATTTTTTGTTTATAGCATAGTTTATATGGATTATTCCCCAAAAATTATATGTATTTTGGAAATGTTGAGTCGATTAGTCTAGAATCTATTAATTTTATGGAAGAAACGTTTCAAACAGCCATAGTCCATAAACTTCACACAAGCCGGGCTGTGATTGGCTGGACTCGTAGAAAATGGATTCATAAAAACAGGAATGTATCTACCGTGTTGTAGAGGGGTTGACTGTACGTCGTTTGTCAAAAAAGTATATGGAAAAATAAAAATCAAGTTTAAGTCATTTTATTCGACTTTACATTTGTCTGCCACAAATATTGAAGTCATAATATCACTAGAAAAGCATTTGAAGCACATAAAATCATATTAAAATATATACATTTACAAGTATGTACAGTAATACCCTGACTTACACGAACCCGGAGTTAAGCGATTTTCAAATCTCGTCGATTCATCTTTTGTTTGAGTGCCACGCAAAACTCTTGATTACTCACTCCCCCCACACTATTGTTCAGCTTACATGTTTGGACGTGTCGTGCAGAATCAACACATAGCTACAATTTATTTTGTGTTATTTATATCTGTGTTTGTTATATCTACGGAGACTTGAGAGACACTATGTGGTGATTTCTTGTAACCGTGAACTAATCAAAAGACGAGATAAGATTAACGAGAACATTTATTAGCTTACATACATTCACCTTGGATTTTACACAAATTGCGAAATTATACCCCAACTTACGCGAATTCGACTTACGTGGTTTTCACTCAGTCCCACCTATCGCGTAAGTTCGAGGTATTACTGTACTGTATTTACAGTACAAGCATTCGTAAATTTAGATTTGTAAATTTTTTCTGTACTACATTAAAAACTAAAATTTATTTGTTTGTAAGCTTAAAATAGATCCTTATTAACCATATATTATTAAAAATGCATTAATAAATAAAATACAGAACCGGGAATGGTAATTTATGGTTTAGCCTAGTGACAAGTAGATTTGGAGACAAGTAAATTCAACTTACGTCATTTTTCGATTTATGTCGCCTCTCCTGGAACCAATTACCAACGTAAGGCGAGGTATATCTGTATAGTTAATATGGTGATAGATGCAGGAAGGTAAATTATTTTGAAGAAAGTTCTTTATATGACTTTCTTTGTATAGATTATTACAGGTAAAATGTCATTGAAAAACCATGGAAAGAAACTGCGTAAATAAAAAAAAAATGTCTCTTAGTCCAAGACTCTACTAGCATAAAAATGGGTAGCCCCTTAACAAAAACAACTATACATTGCATTATTTAAGAATAGTAGTAATAAGTGCAAAAGAAAAAAAAAAGGAAAAAGTTTTGTTACAGAAAAATTAAATAAAAAATTTTTTTTAAATTAACCTTGTATAAACTTATATAACATAAGAAATGTTTGAATCAAAACATTAAATATTGATATTACTTAGTATACCAAGGTTGCTTGAAAAGTTTTGTCACACGTCTTCTGTTGGTCATAGCAAAATGAGTCTTTCCCCAATCAAAAGAGCATGAAAAATGGGCAAAGTCTGATTCATGTTCCTGTTTCTAGTGCTTTCTCAGCAAGCAGTGTGAAAATACTATAATACATTTCTTGTCTAGCCTTGGTATATATTTGTAAGAACTATGTTGGCCTCTTTATTCCTAAACTTATTACACTGTCACTTGACAAAAGATCAGCCTTAGAAAATCAGTTTATTCCCCCCAAAAAAGAAAGGTATGCATTTTGGACCTTAAGTCCCTATTAGCTTTTTTTTATAAATATTTATGAAACTGACACATCCACGTCTCCAAAACACACAATAAAATCACAACGTTTGGTAAATTAATACTAATAACAAATCATTGATTACAGATCCAAGTTCCAGGTGTTTGATTAAACTTGCTGATTCAATATTTAGAGCAGTATAATTAAAACAAACAGTATAGTAAAAAAAAAGACATTTAACAATGTCTTTTTTTTACACCTGGAACTTGGATCTGTAATCAATGATTTGTTATTAGTAATTTACCAAACGTTGTGATTTTATTGTGTGTTTTGGAGACGTGGATATGTCAGTTTCATAAATATTTATTTAAAAAAAGCTGATGAGGGCCAAAATGCATACCTTTTTGGGGGGAATAAAGTGATTTTCTAAGACTGATCTTGTGTGACGTGACGGTGTAATAAGTTGAAGAATAAAGAGACCAACATAGTGCTTACAAGTACAGTAAGACCACACTTAATGCTAATTTGATATAATGCTGTCTGCTCAAAGCCTAAAAAAAAAACCTCAAAATTTACGCAGATTTAAATTATCACGGCATTTTGTTGATTTGTATATAAAATATGATTATTTGCGAACACAGACCAGTCGGAAAAGGGTGGCAAAAAGATGTACTTTCTTTAAATCTGTTTGTTTGGTGCAATTTTGGAAAAAATATAACATCATGGATGCCACATGCAATATCAACTTCACTTGGCAAGAATGAACTGATAAATGCATGAACAAAGTGTGGAAGAAATTATGGCTGAAGGTATCCAAGAATTCTCAATGATAAGAGCCTATCACTGTATCTTTAGGTTGATCAAACTCAACCTACAGTAATTGAAAAAGCAGGACTGGGAGATGTAGACGAACAGGATATTGAGAAGTTACCACAGATTTCTGTTGAGAGTCTTATCAACAACGACCTTCAAGAACTGGCAAAACAAGGAATTCATGTAGAATTGGAAAATAGTGATTCTGAAAATGAAGAACCCCAAAAAAATTCTCTGCAGATTTCCTTAGTAAAAGTTTAGTAATGATAACCGAAATCATTGATCAAATTGTAGTGAATGATCTAGATTAGAAATGAGTGCAAAAGCAAAACAAGGCATTTTGGATGCAATCTTCTACTACTTATATTTGCTTAAGGAAAGAAAAAAGAGACAAATGGAACTTCATGACTTTATTGCAAAAAAACAAGAATTTCAGAAAAGTCATGACCTTCATCACAAAAAATGAACTATTAATATAGAAAAAATGGATGCCATAAGCAATATCGACTTAGATTCGCAGGAATTAAGGAAAGAAAAAAGAGACAAATGGAACTACACAACTTTATTGCAAAAAAACAAGAAATTCAGAAAAGTCAGGACCTCCATCACAAAAAATGAACTTTACATTTCTGTGTGCATGTGTTTATGTGTTATTTAACATATATTATTATACAAATTAATATAAAAATAAAATTAAAGTAAAATTTTTTTTATTTTCGGGTTGCATATTCCCCTATCCCTATTTACTCTGTTAAAATGACCTCGTTTAGTGCTTTGTCATTTAGGTCTCCAGAACCAATTAATCAAATTCCCATAGAAACCTATGGTAAATCGATAATCAGTTAATGAACAATTCGGATAGTGA